GCTTCCTCCAGTTTGTTTCTCATCGATGGTGATTGGGATATCTCTAAGCACATTCAAGAAAGCTCTTCAACCCTCCATATTCAGTATGTTCTACTATTCGTCAGGTCTTGTAGCTGCTCAGGCCATTGCAGCTGCTTTGTTTAGTTTGGGCGCTATGAAACCTTGCTAATATTATCACATTAGGGCACAAGAGAAGAGTTTATTTGGAAAGAAAACATGTCTACGTTGAGTATGTCCACAAAAGGCTCCGAGGTAGTTCTTAGACCTTCTGCTAGCTCTGGAGATTCATGGGAATGATACAGGGACACTCTGAGGATTCGTGGACTATGGTACTATGTCTGACTGAAATTTCAATTGAGGATTGCCGCGTGGGCTTGTGACAGCATAAAACACACAAGATTTACTTAATAATCACAGGGACAGACATCCAAGAGCTGGACGAAAAAGGAGCTCTAGAGATGCCGAACGGCGATGCAGAGTCACCAATGCAAGAGCTGGACGAAGCAAGTTGGTATACAGCAAGCCAAACCCCAGAGCTGCGTGAAGAGGGAGCTCCAGAGATGCATGTGGACGATATCAAGATGGAAAGGCAAGAGCCGGACGAAGCGATCCCGGCAGATTGACCCGGACAAACCGGTGCTCGATGAGCAAGAGGACCCCGAGCTAGACCAGAACGCAGGACTTCTTTCTCCAGGCGTAGATTCTAAAGCAGTGCTCATTGCTAAGCTCTTCAGCCAACCCTCTTTAGTAAAAGGAAAACTAAAGTCATGGAGTAAATGCATATCCAGGGCTACAAGACCATACTTGGGAATGTCTCTACAAAATATGGCGGAAATCTGATGCAGGGAGAGAAGCGGTCAAAGAAAACAGGAACAACTCGAAAAGCACCGGGCGCTTGTTATCGATCTCTTTACGAAACGCCCTGATTTATGAAAGGGAAAGTCTAAAGACACAACTCGATGCACTTCTCCGTATCCGGGATTAGAACATTGTACGGACTCCGTGTGTATCCGTAATCACTGTCAGCTCCGGCTGGGCAGCGTGGGGAGACGGAATTGTGGGGCAATGACGGCAGAGAATGAGGCTTGATTCCTCCGCGATGTGGCTCGTGCATGAGCTAGCATTCCCGTCCCCACATTACCAGCCACCCATTAAAATTGCTGCAAGCACTGAACGCGTCGCGAGCTTCGCAACTTGGCGCGCAAATCAAAGGCCCCTTGCACTCCTTTACCAGCCCCCTCCGTTACCTTCATTGTTCAAATGCAAAGCATTCCTTTCAAACCCACCTCGTCCTGGGTTTGTTTAATTTACTGTTCAGAACGTATCATTTTCCTCCCTCTTTCACAGCTGCTGCTACTTTTTATGATTTTTTAAAGAGCTTTAATTGCATCCAGCCCGCCGCGCCGTTACACGACTCGGACTCGGTGTCTTGCCAACTTGCCATCAAACACCATTGGGATAGACCGCCCAATTCGCTCGCTCCTTCAAGCTATCCGCCTCGTAACCAAGAAATCAGTTGCGTCCTGAGCGCCGCTACGGCTTAAAATACACAATGCCCCCAAAAGCAACCAAGCCGAACTTGAAGCCGTTGAAGACAGGGACGAGCGCAAAGGAGGTCGCCCAAAGGAGGGCGTCTGGCGCTGTACAGCGTATGTCGAACCAAGCTCCCGGGCGCACCACAAAGGACTGGACGTGCTAACATCTCTTCAGCTGGCGACCCGACACCCATTGGCAAAAAAAGAAGATACAAACCGGGCACTCGCGCGTTGAGAGAAATCCGAAGATATCAATCAAGCACAGATCTTTTACTCCTAAAGCTTCCTTTCGCACGACTGGTCAGTCTTTCTCGTCAAATTTCCATGGATCCAACGCGACCGCGCTCTCGCTTACACTTTAGAATAGGTCAAAGAAATAGGACAAAATATCCGCCCCCAGGACGATGAAATGCGCTGGCAATCGCATGCTCTGGCGGCATTACAAGAAGCTTCCGAAGCTTTCCTGGTTCATTTATTCGAGGACACCAATCTCTGCGCGATCCATGCGAAACGGGTCACGATCATGCAAAAGGATATTCAGCTCGCGAGGAGGATACGAGGCGTATGGGGAGGTGCTGGGTGGATATGACACTGCCATTTTTAATTCAACGTTTGGGTCACGGCATGGCACATGCAAAAAGCGAATGTGGGAGTTTTGACGGGGGGGCATCAGAGAAGTGGTCCTTGGCCATTGGTGTGCCGCGTCTTTCCCTCACATCTCCCACACCTTGAGGAGTGAGCTCCGTGTTTTCCCTAATTTTATAATACCGTGTCCGGCACTTTGTTTCGCAAAGACCCCACGGGTGTAGGTTTTACTTGGGCAGGCGGATAAGGCGCATTGGTTTGGTCTGGTCGGTGGCGGCTAGCGAGGTTGCGGGCAGGAACGGCGTTACTAGGAGTTTGGGGATATCCGGATTTTGTTTCATTCACTTTCCCTTCAGTGGTACGGAGTACGTTGTTATATATACGGGCATTCGTTGGATATTGCGAAAATTCAAAACATTAATAGCATCCCGACTCTGCAAAGAATAAGAGAGGCGCTTTTAACAAAAGTCATCCGATATTCGGCTCGAGGGTCGGGACTTTGCGGAGAAGCTCAAGCTCGCGATGAAATGTGAGAATTTGCGACGAATTTCAAGCTGGGTTGGAATCGAGTTTTACCAGCTCTGGTCTCCCTTTTCCAGGAACGAAATAAGGTAGGCATTAAAGATCTCACAGCTGATGCATACCCGTACCTGGGTAGAGGTACACTTTAAATCCCACCGGCCCAGAGCTTAGTACCTTTTCCATGCGGGTGACATCAGTTTTTTTTATCCCTCCATCACGAACTACCCCGCCAAAAGTCAAAAAGTCACCCCACCAAGCCAATTCCTCGTCACATCGTACAAAGGGAAAGTATAACTTCTCATAACCTCTTCACTCTTTTCCAGTCTTTTCATTTTATTTCATCATCCTTCCTCCAAACCCTCCAAAATCGGGTAAAAATGTCTTCCTTCGACAGCTACCAGGTATGACATTATATCCTGAACAAGCACATATAAATCAAGGTTACTGATGGCATACATAGACCCCCCTCAGCACGCGCTATGCGTCCAAAGAGATGATGGAGATCTTCTCGGCCCGGACGCGCCATTCGACCTGGCGACAGCTCTGGATCTGGCTGGCCGAGGCCGAGAAGGAGCTCGGGCTCAACATCTCGGACGAGGCCATTGACCAGATGCGCAGGCACGCCGTGGTCTCTGACGAGGCCTTCGAGGTGGCCAAAAACTACGAGGCCAAGTTCCGCCACGATGTCATGGCCCATGTCCACGCCTTTGGAGAGGACGCACCTGCTGCTGCTGGGTCTATCCATCTGGGCGCTACGAGCTGCTATGTCACCGACAATGCCGACTTGATCTTCCTCCAGCGTGCGCTGGATTTGATCTTGCCCAAGATTGCCAAGGTCATTCAGAACTTGAGGGACTTTGCGATCAAGTACAAGGATATGCCCGTGCTTGGTTTCACCCATTATCAGCCGGCCCAGCTGATTACTGTGGGCAAGAGGGCGGCTCAGTGGATTCAGGAATTGATGATGGACCTGGAGGATATCGAGACTGTCCGGGAGAGGCTCCAGTTCAGAGGTGCACAGGGCACCACTGGATCGCAAGCAACCTTCCTCGAGCTTTTCGAGGGCAACGCCGACAAGATTGTCGAGCTCAACAGGATCCTCTGCCAGAAGGCAGGGTTCCCTTCTGCGTATCCCATCTCGACGCAGACGTATACCCGTAAGGTCGACCTCCGTGTTGCTAACGCTGTGTGTGCCCTCGGTGCCACTGCTGAGCGCATCTGCGGTGATATTCGTCACTTGGCCAACTTGAAGGAGATGGAGGAGCCCTTTGAGAAGAGCCAGATTGGCAGTTCCGCAATGGCCTACAAGAGAAACCCCATGAGGTGCGAGCGTATTACCGCCCTCGCTCGGAAACTTCGCGGCCTGCCAGCAAACTTTGCCAACACATTTTCCGCACAATGGTTTGAGAGAACGTAAGATGCCCCATTTCTCCCCTCAAGCAAATTACTAGAGACTAACAACACTTCTTCACAGCCTTGATGACAGTCGGTTTTCACCTTCCCCTTGTTTTACTGATGGCCATGTCACTGATATTCATTTCCAGGCGCTATCCGTCGTATGGACATTCCTGAGATGGTAAGAAAAGACGACTCTAGTAGACACAGAGCTTCGCAGGATTACTAACAAGGCAAATAGTTCCTCCTTGCCGATTCTATCCTCCTTACGCTGGACAACGTCACAAATGGCCTTGTTCTCTATCCCAGCGTCATCCGATCAAGGATCGACCAAGAGCTCCCCTTCAGTAGGCCCACAATGTGTAACCCACCATACCATGTAGCACTGATTCTAACAAGGGCGTAGTGGCCACCGAGTCCATCCTGATGAAGCTAGCCAGCCACGGCGTCTCCAGGCAAGATGCCCACGAGGAGATTCGTGTATTGGTATGTCTCATCTCTTTCCTTCCTGTCCTGTACACAGAGTTTCTTTCACTAACAAAAAAACACAGTCCCACGAAGCAAGCGCAGTCGTCAAGCAACAAGGCGGCAGGAACGACCTCCTCGAGCGCGTCAAGAAGGCCGAGTTCTTCAAGCCCGTATGGAACGATCTCGACAGCCTGGTCGACCCCAAGCTCTTCATCGGCAACTGCCCCAAGATCGTCGAGGATTACTGCAACGGCGAGGTTGCGGAGAAGTTGGAGAGATACAAAGAGGCTTTGGCTGGTGCTGCTACTGCTCAGCTTTCCATCTAGATATTTGCCGTATCTAGTTGGGCGGTTAACCTGTGAGATATCTATCACGGCTTGAGTTGCATCAAGATGACAGGCAGGCAGGACATGTCGTATCTGGGTAGATACGAGTAAGTAGTATACAGGCTAGGCTGCCTGGTTGGTTGGTAGACAAAAAGTCATGAAAAAGATATGCCCCCGAGCGGATATCGAACCGCTGACCTGCTGATAATTTCGCTGAAAACAAACGCTGTGTGAAATCCAACGCTCCCGCGCTCTGACCACTGAGCTACGGGGGCTTTTTTGGCGTTTTGGTACCAGGGGTATGTTGGAACTCATCTACATGCCCTCTTTGTGGGAGGATAGAAGGGAAAGAAGGTTTCGTGAATACCTACCGAGAGGTCCGGTCTTTTATGGGGAGATGAGATGGGCTTGCTCGGTGGCTGAACTTGAGACTTTGACGACGACGGGATTGCAGGATGTCCTCCCCTTTGAGCAGCTTGATGATACTATTCCGTTGTGAGAAGTGAATAAGTGAATGAGTGAGCGAGCCAATTTCTCTTGCCATATATATATCTCTCGTCGTTAGTGACAGACAGACAGTTCCATGTTTGTCAGGCTGTCTGTCACTGTGTGGGTAGGTACTTATTGTCTTGAACTAAACAGGGGCTGGGGGTATCACACGAGGTGAGAGTTCAATAACCTGATGTTCCTGTCTAGTATTTCATGGATGTTGTCGAGGTATGTCTAGGTATTCGACTAAACAAGGAATGATAAAGGAATGATATCTCTAGACAGGACTTTGCTCATGTATTGCAGCACGTGAAGACTGCTCTGCTCGGTATGTGTATAGATGTGCGCGACACTTTAGCCCGTCTCATTTATTCATGGACTGACTGACTGACTGGGCTGGTGTTCTTTTATATGTGCAAGTTCAACGAGAAAGTCAGAGTTGGGCTCGGGTCGATCATCAGGCAGGAGGTTGGCGAGGTGGCTGGCGAGCGGCTCCATCAGCTGGTGTGGATTCTCCGTCACAAGGCAGTGAGTGAGTCAGTCAGGCAGGACCGCAGATTCATAAGGTTTACATTGGGCGTAAGTGTTTGACAAGATGGCCGAGGGGTTTAAGGCGCCAGACTTAAGATCAATAATTTCTCTTCCTCCTTAAAAGGAAGAATCTTTACTTCTGGTATCGAAAGATGCGTGGGTTCGAATCCCGCTCTTGTCATTTATTTATATATCTTGCTTGTTTACCAGCAATTTGCTTTTTCTTTTTTGTGGTGATTTCAACCCATTAACCAAACCTCTTAATCACATGAGTGAGTGAGTGGTTGGCGCTTTTTCTGGCGATTGTCAGTTACAGTTTGTTCATCTCCCCAACCCCTTTTTGATTCTCGAGTTTTGTTTGTTTATTTAGTCTATGCGGCTCATTCTATTTACGAATCCGTTCACTCAGCCCAATGTAAACACATGCACCCCGTTGAACGACAACCCCCAAAAGGCATCGTCTATTCATTCAAACTGCTATTTGCATCGTCTCGTCTCGTCTAGTCATGCCATGATCATATCTAAGCCAACCAGGTATGCAAGGGATTTTGTGCGTTGTGTGTGTATGTGTATAAGACGAGCTCTTCGTCAGAGCTACAGATGCAAAGGAAGCCAAAAACAAAGGAAAGTGATACAACCAAAACAAACAACCCCTAGGGGAACCAATCTGATGATGCAAGCCACCCACAAACAGCTCCCGTTGAGTAGAATGAATATGATCCAAACCGCCATGCACATAGAACTTAGGAAAAAGAAAAAAGAAAGTATCACACCACAACCAGCCACCTCAAGTCCAATCACTCACTCAATACAGGGCTCCTCACATCCTTCTCCCCATCTCTCTCGTCCTCTCCACGGTAGAAAACAACCCAGCGGACGTAACCATTCTGATGATACAAGCCACACCAAAACATCTCTATCCAAACCGCCATGCACACACACATAAACATAGGAAATACAAAACGAAAGTATCACACCAAAAACACAGCACTACTCAATAGAGGCCCCCACGTCCTCCCCATCTCTATCGTCCCCCTCCACGGTAGGAACCAACCCAGCGGGGGTAGCAATCCTCCCCATCTTTTCCAAGTCACTCACTCCCCCATCATCACTGACCTCGGCACCATCAATCAATCCCTCTTCCTCTCCCCGCCTCGCGCTGCCCCGTCTCCTCGGCTCCGCCCGTCCACCAAACGAAGAAGTCGAAGCCGAGCTCGTCCAAGAGCCCCCTCCAAGCCCACTATCCTTCGCCAGATCCTCATGCTCGTGCTCCCCCTCAGTAACCGAAAACTCGCCCTCCTCCTCAGTCGTAACACTACCACCCATATTCAACCCCTCAGTCCTTATCAACAACCCCCGAATATCATCTTCACTGAGTATACTCTCTATACTTCCCCGTCTATCCCTCCCTCCTTCACCGGCAGCCCCAAGTCCATGTCCATACCTAGAAACCCTGGTCGCCCTCCTGCCCGCCTCAGCAAGCCTCTCCACTTTGAGTCTATTCGAGATAAACTTGATTTTGGGAAAAGCACTATGCTGACCCTCGTGAATCATCCGTGCCAGTCTCGCCGGGTCGGGATCATCCAGGATATGTATAAAATCGCTGGGGAACTTGCATTTAGGCCAGATGGTCACCGTCCCGCCGAAAGTCTGTAGCCATAATTGTGACCAGTCTTGTCCTAATGGTCGGGGTAAGAGTTCAAGCTGGCGTAAGACGCGGAGCCACTTTGTCAAGTCGAGCTTGATATATTGCTCTGTTGCTGAGCCGAGGTATCCGCCCCGCCAGCCGCGCCCTTTGCGATGTGTGACGGGTTGCCCGACTGATCCTCGCGATGAGAAGAAGAATAAGTTGATATGCGGGTTTACCTGGCTGACGATGGTGAAATTTACGTTGAAGTGTAGGTTTAGTGCCTTGATGGGGATGTCTGTTCGTAAAGAGCCGTCTTTCCATTTGTGACCGAATGAATAAGGGACGAGCTGCCCACTGCGAGTCTTCATCATCAACACGACTGGATTGAGGATTCCGGGGACTGCGGCAGAGGCAATAACCGCGGACCAAATGACACAGTCCGGGCTGGTGAGGTAGTTGCACAATATGGTGGGAGAGTGCGGGTCAGACGGGACACAGCTGACGTTCAAGATGCGCCCTGTCCGCTCGTACGCCTCGCGGAATGTCATGCTCCCGTGCGTCCACCAGGAACACTGTTTCGCCCAGTCGATCGAGTCGAAGCGCGCGCCAGTCTTCCACCATCGCCTGAACCATACACTGATGGGCTCGCGGCAGGCGGTTATGTGGTGCGCTAGGGAGGGTACGAGGAGTTGTTTGAGTTCGTCGTTGGTGCGGGTTGCTACCAGCGCTGCTACGAGGGCACCCCCGCTCGTGCCGGTTATGATGTCTGGAAGGCAATCTTCATCGAGGAGGGCCTTGACGACGCCAAAGTGGTAGTATGCAAATGTTGCGCCGCCAGAGAGACAGAGGGCTGTGCGGCCATAGTTGGCGCAGATGCCTTTGAAGAGGACCCGTTTCTCGTCCTGGGTGAGTTGTTTGGTGTCGATTAGGAACTTGGTACTTTTCTCGACTGTGTGTGACGAGCAAACGTGTCAGCCGCTGTTCTGTACCTGCCAGTGGTTACAGGGGGAGGAGGAAGAAGTCATACCTTCATCAACATAATTCTGAACCAGATTCTTGGTGCCGTAGTACGTCTGGCTGTACAGCCTCGGATTCTCAACACCAACAAAGTTATTCTTGACACATCCCTCGATCAACAGCTTGAGGTCATCAACCGGCCTCCTCTTGTCCGTATCCCAGGCTCCAGCCTCACCCGCTTCCGCTTCTTCCTTCTCCGCCCGCTCGCGACACTTCCTCAACTGATCCCACACCCTCCTCACAGTCGGACTATCATAATACGCAAACTCGTTCTCCTCCTTCCACTTTTCATTCCCAAAGAAGGCATCCATCTGCCGCGCAGCAACCACCCAGTCTTTATAGCTCCCCGTCGCGCGCATCGCCCTCCTAAGACGCTCTCTCTTTCCGCGCCAGGCGATGCACTGCTCATACAGGTAGATATACGTCCGTGTAGCCAAATACGCAATCGACAATCCCACAAGCCAAGCGCCCACAATCAACAAGAACGGCCACTTGAGCAGACTATACAAGTACCCCTCTCTCGTCTCGTCTTTGGACCGTGTACCGATGATGTTTTTCAGGGGCCCGCTAATTTTGGACGCAGCTGCTACTCGCCTTTTTCGTTTCTTGTTGCCAATACTATCCTTCTTGCGCAAAAGCCGTTTGTTGTCCTTCTCCTTGGTACCGTTACCATTCCCCAGCACCTTCTCATGCACAGGCGCCCAATCATTCTGCGCAGAGATGAACATTTTGCTGCTGGCTGTACTGCCTGATCTGGCAAATGAAGACGGTGTATCTCCGTCGCCCGCACCAAAGCCCATGCTGTTCTCCCGGCTGACGCCCGCGCTGCCCCAGGGGTTCGGACTGCCGAGGCGCATGGACTGGTTGATATCCTCGCCATTGGGGGACTGGATCGGGTCAGGGGCCGCAAGGGCCTGGATGAAGGCGTCGAGGTCTTCGGGCGGGAGAAAGTTGGTGTCTGCGTCGGGGAGTCGGGTGTAGTCGAAGGCTTCGGGAGGGAATCCGTAGTTTCGCGCTGGTACGCTGTAGATGGGCGGTGACGTTGCCGCCTTTTTCTCGTCTGGGCCTCCCATCTTTTATTCCCTTCTGGTCGTTTGCGATGTTCGTTTTACGGAAAGTGCTGTTGAAGCGGTAGCATGATATCGTTGCTAGTTGGAGGTTCCAGTCCGGGATATGACCAGCTGCAAGCTCAGCGTGTGACGTGAACAGGTTAAACGGTCTGAAATAAAGATTAAGAAGGTCCAAAAGTGGAAAAACAAGACGTCTGTAAATTGTTGGGATAATTCCTTTGGGGGAGGTTATCTAGCCGTTGGCCACTGGTGTCGAAACGTGATGCCTCTATCTTCTAGCCTGTCGCATGTTTAATCGCGTGTTTCGGTGGCTCTCGATGACGGTACGGAGTATGGAGGATCCACTCAGAATCCGGAAGAAAGCTCCTCGGGATTCGGAACCGTTTACCAGGATTGTATGGTAGGTAGGCAAGACTGCTAAAAGCATATGATACGTCCCATTTACACAAGCGATAGACGGTGTACCGGTAAGGTTCACATGTGCGTCTCTTCTCCGTGTTGCTGCGACAGTACGACAAGAAGAAGCGCAGTGGGAGAGATCGATCGCCGGTGGAATGACGTCGATACCGCTCAGCGGATATCCGCACGGGGGGTCCACTGAGTGGCGCCTCGAGGGTTCAAGCCGAGGCGATTCCTATTTGTACAGTACGTGTAAACATCACCAATGCGTACGTGATATGTCTAGGTTTCCCTCCCAAAAGACATCAGGCATCGAATGATGGCGAGAAATAGAAGTTTCCAGTTGAGGGCAAAAGAGATATCAAGCCAAAAAAATCTTTGTGCTTTTACTTATTCCCTTTCCACGTGTACTTTGTCATGTGCGTTTACCCCTTACTATTTGTCGAGGTTCCTTTATGGACGGCATGACATCTTAGGTATTCCGTCCTTTGACCTTTGTGATTAACTGATTCAATTATAGCTCTCAACGGTCGCAAGTCAGACATTGTTACGGGCTGATTAGCCCACTTGAAAGATAATGACTGCAAGTAACAGATGCGTCGGGTCCAGGAAGCTCCCATACTGAAACATAATGATCACATCTACTCGGCACGTTGACACGGATCGGATGCTGAAAGCAACGCCTGATGGATAGTAAAGAAATCCATGCGTACATTATTACTAGCCCATATGTTACACTGCGACGAACATCCATTTACACGTATGAGGCCCTGAACCGAAAATGAAGGCGCCTAATATACAGGCACCAGTCTTCTTATATACTGGCACTACTCTTGTAGAATAGATGTCTTGATTAGCTGGAATAAATGCCTTGACTGGCTGGAATAAATAGCTTAACTAGCTAGAATAAATACCTTGACTAGCTCGAATAAATGCCTCTGGTATGGAAAGTCAAATTGGACTGGTGCCTGTGTACGAGTAATGGTGCCTGTATATTAGGCGCCAAAAAAAATATGCAGTACACGTTTGGAAGCCATCAAAAGGATCTAAACAACGTTGAATAAC